CCGCACATTTCACCAAGCGGCCCGCGGATACTCCACTTTCGCCGTCACCTCCTCAGTCTCTAGTTTAGAAATTGATTCCACTAGAGTTCTGCGTCCGGTTGACTCGACCACCAAGGGACACTCTTACACAAGGCGACATCCGAATTCGGAGACCTCTCTCTCCTCGGTACACGGAGCAATCCGTAATTCCGAGAGCCGGTTGCAGTTACCAGCGCACCAGAGACTCGTTCCGTGGCAGTACAGACTTCGCCGCTCAGAGCCTGCTCAGAGAGCAGTTGTCAGACGGAAGACCATTTCCCGAACGGAGTTCCACCGACGCCGGGAAAGGGGCTGCAACGAGCTAACTCAATTGAACCGTCCTTTTTAGGACCCGTTCAACACACTAAGACGCGGCCGGTAATTTCTTACCGCGCCCGTCAATTTTTCTTTAACTCTCGGCCTTACACATTTGACGAGAAAGCGCCTCGGGCGCAATTAATTAAATCAAACAAAACTTGTACATATACTCTATTTCTCTGACGAGGAAAAATAAATTATATTTTTCTAAGAAATTGGTTTCATACTTTCAACCAAGTCGAACACAATCCATTGGGCAATACGCCTATATAATGCATATGTAATATTTGTTGAGATACTTATTATAATATGTTTGCAGACTGAATGAAATTAATACCATCTCATATGGGTTATGGAAATATTTGAAGTATCTATGATTATTGAGCACTTTTGGAACGGATCTGGAATTTATGTGAATGTGGAGTCACCAGGAATCCTGTACTGTTTCTCATGCTTCTGTTGAGACACACTTACCTGTAAGGCTCTGTGTTTTTTCGTACAGTGTAGTATTATAGTGATGTAAAGAATCTGGAAGTAACGATCAGATTTAGTGGTTGATTCTGATTCGCGGAGCCTGTTAAATCTGGCTTATTCTGTATAAACATGAATAGTGCGATCTGATTAACACGCTTGGATTTAATTAATATAGTTAATTCGATATATTTTAGCCTAATCTGACTGTATTTATTTATACGGAATACGTTTATAGGTTAAAGATAAATTCTGATCGAACATTGTATGATTGTATGACAGTATGTGAGACAGGTCATATGCTTGGAGAAATTTTACTTCATATTAAGTTAAACTAAATTAAGAATAAATGAATATACCTAAGGATGACTCACTATATTAAATAAAACTTTTAATTTCGAGGATTAATGACGGATACAGTCCAATTTAATCTTTCTCAATTAACTTACAGATCTAAGGATCGATCAATTGGGTGTAATGTGTTTGATTGTGAATGCTACTTACTAAGTATAGATGGAAAACCTTTATAAAAAACCTTTAGAAACGGTTTATATATAAAATAGGGTTTAATATTGTGATTTCTGTGAAAGACTGAGGATTTATACTCCCTGCGCTAGAATAGAATAGAATACATTGAATTTAAATTAGATATGATATATAATAGAATAATGTTAATATAAGGTGAATTCTTAAGACATTGAATATTGTACTTATGTATAGACTTAGTTTTAGTTCTGAGTGAATACTAAGTACATAAGAAACTTTTCTTCGATGCAGAAACTTTTATTATGTTTTTGAGAGAATAAGTTATTTGTTTATTAAACTATACATTATACCTGTAGTGACATTGATATTAGGTATAGAATTGTCATATTTTGACAATTAAAATGGACATGGATAGGAATAGACTATCTTGCTAATAGTTTAACCAAGTATATGATTAAGTTATGATATTATGGATGTCTGTTCTTTTAGTTATTAATAGATAAAAATGTTAGTGATTATGACAATGTAATAATATTATATAGCGATTATAGTTTAATACCGAGATCACTCTGAAAGACTGAGTATTTTATTGACTATGTTTTGAGGTACCAACATATATTGAACTTAAGATTAGATAAGAGAATACTTAAACATTAATGCGAAATAGTATATATTGCAATCTCTACACTCTGATGTGGAAGTAAGGAAGTTCTTGTTTTCCATTAATGCTTATTTGGTGAATTATGAGTTCTGTCTTAAGATATGTACTATTAATGTGGTAATATATGTGTGGGATTGTTATGTAAGGGAAATTACATCACGGATTTAAACTTAAATTGTTTATTGTTGATAAATACATTATAAGGGTTACCTGAATAAAATGGTCGCTCCGAGTGGTGTTATATACTGTTGTGGATTGGTGGATTGTCTCTAAAATGAAATAAAAGAACAACTACTTAATGAACTATAAAATATACTTAATAAATAAAGGTTTATACTTACCTGACCTTTGTTTCCTCTGTGTTTTATCTGGCACTGATGATTGGCTGACATCTGAAACATAAAGTAAGTGATTAGTTAAGAGGTTACACCACAGTAGAGAGCGAAAATTTAACGTTTTTTTGCGATTTTTTTTTAAGTGGAAGGAAAAGTAAAAGGGTAATTCTTTTTAAGGATGTTGTTAAGCATGTTTTGAAGTTTTAAAAAAATTTTGTTTATTAAAAAATATTACAAAATGGCTGCCCAACAGCCGTTTCTGCGGAACGGTTTTTTTTGGAGGGGCTCCGCGGCACGCAGAGAAGTGTAGCAAAAATAAATCTGGAACAAAATAAAAAATTTTTTCTTAAACTACATTAGTATAGCTATAGAAATACGTAGGGGATTTTGAAAATATTCATTTTTGTTAAATTGGCGAGCATTTGAAAAAAAAAGTTTATTTTACTACCAACAAACGGGCACTTATTTGTACCTAAAAAATCGAAATATTAACTTATCGAAAATCGGCTACGTATTTCTATGCGGAATGTTGTTTTAAAGATGTGATATTAATTTGGAGTGAAAAAATAGAAAATTGTTTGAGTTATGCTGCGTGCCGATTTGAAAAAACGTGTTTCGAGAAAAACGCGTTTAAAGTTTTGACTCGTGTTTCGAACATGATAAAATAAAAAATTTAATTATTAAAAATTTTTTACCTTTAATCTGCTATTCCAGCACCGTAAAGCTGACCTTCCAGGTTGCTAAACTCCTCCTCGTTTTTTTTCTTGGACGCTTTTATGCTGGAGCGAGCCTGTTTCGCTGCGTCCGTCAAAGAGCGCTCCGCGCATTGTATTCGAGCAGCGTCTATCTCTAAACAAAAGTTGTAGGATTGTGGTCCAATGTTCATGTCCATCACTTTCATTATTCTTAAAACGTTTATCAGTCCATCATTAAAATTACAAACAGCAATGTCACTTGCTATTTGTAATATTTTCTTTCCGCTTGAATAATTTTTAGGAGCCAAGTGCCAGACTGTAGAATTAAAACTTTCGTTGCTGTTCTGCGTATAGCCTCCCAAGCAACGATTCAGCCACTCGTCACGGCTCAAATCCTCGTAGATTGGTCTGATGGCTTCAAAAACTTTGTTTGATAGTGCCGGTTTATGATGAAAGGAGTCTAAGGAACCCGTTGCTTGCGCCTTCTTCCATTCGCACCAAGACTCTGAGCATTTTTCGTGCTGTAGATTTTCGTCAGTTGACATTTTATGAAATAATGTCGCCCAGATTTCATTTCTCATATTTTCTAACGAGTTTTGAATTTCCGTCGAATGGCCAAGCCATAATAAATTGTTAACTGATCAATTAATTCCATAGTTAATTTTCCTTTTCCTCCAAGTATTTTTTGTTTTTTTTCTCAAATTTCTCAACCGAGTGCCCATTCGTTTTTGTACATGATCAATACATTCTT